CTCTGGTTTAGTGATCACTTTGCCAGTTCTCCAGCAAACTTTGTCATCATCTTATCTTATCTTTGTAACGCTACAAACTTACTTTTCCAATCCCACAAACATATCTAATGTGTCTGTCGTTTATGCTAAAGTTGATTTCTGTAGGTTTTGATGTATGTGGGAAATTTCTGACTAATGTGATATTCCATCCCAACTAATGTGAAATTTCAAACTCACGTGGGTTTCACATCATGTGATCTCGTTCTACTTTTAGACTTTTTTTGGTCTCTAGGAGGACTTTTCAGTGACTTTAATAGGTTTAGTAAACGTCAACATCTCAAGTTCTCCAAATCACACATTATAAGATGAGGTTGAGAAGCTGCTTCTTCATTGCCAAAACCAATCTTCTCCTCTCTTTGTTTAAAGAATCATTTTTTCTCCTTAAAAGTTTTCATGACTACCCCATTGTTGGGTTTATGTCTTCTTTTGGTACTCTTACTCTGCTGTGTCTCCGCTTCAAGCAACTTTGTTTATAAAAATCCCGTTAAGGGTCTTGTTGCTTGCCGTTACCACCAGATTGAAGCCCTTAAGCAGTTTACAGAGGAGTTTGACTCCAGTGGTTGCAACCAGACAAACTACTTCAATGGAGTCCAGTGCGATAACACAACGGGTGTGATCACAGAGATAAAAGTACTAAGTGGCTGCCTCAGTGGAATTCTTAAGCCCAACAGTAGCCTCTTCCGTCTGCATCATCTCCGTTACCTTTATCTCTCCGGCAACGATTTCACCTCCTCTTCACTTCCTTCCGGTCTCGGTAATCTCAACAAACTGGAGGTTTTATCTCTTTCCTCTAATGGCTTCGTAGGTCAAGTTCCTTCCTCATTTAATAACCTAAGCTTGCTTTCCTATTTAGACCTTTCCCATAATGAGCTCACCGGTAGTTTCCCACCTATACAGAATCTAACCAACCTCTCTGTTTTAGACCTTAATAGTAACCACTTGTCAACTCTTGAACCCAACAGTAGCCTCTTCGGGCTGCATCATCTTCGTTACCTTGACCTCTCTGTCAACAACTTCATCTCCTCTTCTCTCCCTTTCGAATTTGGCAATCTTAACAAACTTGAGGTCTTGGCTCTTTCCTATAACGGCTTCATCGGTCAAGTTCCTTCCTCGTTTAACAGCCTAAATCAGCTAACCGATTTGTACCTAGCTAATAACAAACTCACAGGTAATTTTCCACTTGTATGGAATCTAACCAAGCTTTCCTTGTTACACCTAGCTAATAATCGCTTCTTTGGCACCATTCCTTCTTCTCTGTTCACTATGCCTTTCTTGTCGAATATTGTTTTGGAAGAGAACCATTTCAGTGGTCCGATTGAAATTCATGACTCCTCTTTCTCATCAAGACTAGAGGGCCTGTTCCTTAGAGGTAACAATTTCCAAGACCAAATTCTAAAACCTATCTCAAAGCTCATCACCCTCAAGAAACTCGATCTTTCTTTTCTAAACATAAGCCACCCAATTGACTTAACCGTCTTCTCTTCTCTCAAATCTTTGATGTACCTTAAACTTTCCGGTAATAGTGTATCCCCTACAAGTTTAAGTTCAGATTCAGGCATCCCATTGAGCATGGAGGTCTTGTTCTTGTCAGGATGCAACATCACTGAGTTCCCAAACATGTTGAAACCTCTTGAGAACTTGACGTTTATAGACATCTCCAGCAATCAAATTAAAGGAAAAGTGCCTGCTTGGTTATGGAAGCTTCCTTTCTTGAACTCAGTTGCTCTGGATAACAATTCTCTTAACGGTTTTGAAGGTTCGTCGGAAGTTTTAGTAAATTCATCAGTGCGGATGTTATACTTGGATATAAACAGTTTTAAAGGAGCACTTCCTAATCTACCACTCTCTATCGTCACCTTCTCTGCGAGGTACAATCATTTCTCGGGAAACATACCTCTCTCAATATGCAACCGCAACTCTCTCGTGGGTCTTGATCTTGCCTACAACAATTTCACCGGTCCAATTCCTCAATGTCTGAGTAACTTGATATTGTTGAGTCTCCGGAAGAACAACTTGGAAGGAAGTCTTCCTGATGCGTTATATGCTAATGCCTCTCTACGAACACTCGATGTGGGATACAATCGATTAACCGGAAAGCTTCCAAGGTCTCTTTTAAATTGCTCCTCTCTACATATGTTAATTGTGGACCACAACAGGATCGAAGACGCATTTCCTTTCTGGCTCAAGGCTTTGCCTAATTTGGAAGTCCTTATCCTCCGTTCAAACAAACTCTATGGTTCTATCTCTCCTCCTGATCAAGGTCCTCTAGCATTCCCCGAGCTGCAGATATTTGAAATATCGGATAACAGCTTTACTGGAAGCTTGCCACCGAGTTACTTTTTGAATTGGAAAGCGTCTTCGTCTCAGACCAATGAAGATGAGAGACTTGAGAGTATATACTCTCAATACGAAAACAGAGATATCAAGTATGCTTTCAGTACTTTCATAGACCGTGTAGATTTACAATACAAAGCTCTATCCATGGAGCAAGAGAAGGTCCTTATATCTTATAGCACCATTGATTTCTCTGGAAACAAAATTGAAGGACAGATTCCTGAATCCATTGGTCTCTTGAAGGGATTGATTGCGCTCAACTTATCAAACAACGCTTTCACCAGCCATATTCCTCTGTCTTTGGCCGATCTTACTGAACTCCAGTCACTAGACTTGTCAAGAAACCAACTCTCAGGGACTATTCCTAACGGACTCAAGACCCTCTCGTTTTTGGCGTTCATAAACGTGTCTCACAACCAACTCAAGGGTGAAATACCACAAGGCGCACAAATTACCGGGCAATCTGAATCCTCCTTTGAAGGAAATGCTGGGCTTTGTGGTCTTCCTCTCAAAAACAGTTGCTTTGGGACTAGTGCGCCACCAATACAAGAACCTAAGGAAGAAGAAGAAGTGTTAAGCTGGAAAGGAGTGGCAATAGGGTATGGGCTTGGAGTGTTGTTCGGATTGGCAGTAGCACAAGTCATTGCTTCATACAAGCCTGAGTGGCTTGCCAAGATAACTTGTTTGAATAAACATAGAAACCGTTAGGATTGTTTTGGTTTTGAGTTTGATCTTTCAATGTCTGTCAAGTAGTTGTTGATCTTGTATTGAAGCATGTCTTTGTGTTTGTTGTATCTATATAATGAATTATGTTTGTTTCTCAATAGCAATCCGGGAAGATGTTAAGAGCTAAAATGTTGCATTATTGCAAAATCACGTTAAACTACAACATCAAACAACAAGACAGACACATAACTTAACAGAATCCGAAATATTTTTCAAAAACCTCAAGAGTGTATCCAACTAAGAGATGTAGCAATAATTAATCAAAATATTTATATATCCGAAAACGAAAACTAACTAAAAGCACTCACTGGCAACCAACTTTAATTTCCAAGCGCAAATAAGAAAAAATCTGATTCTATAAACAGAGGAGTGGGAAAAAAGCAGAGGATCACAAGATATTTGTCAAGACTTAAAAAAATGCACAAGACTGAGAATTGTCTAAACTCTGAAAACAATTAACAACAACAATAATTGCCAATGTGTATGTCATGCTAAGTTGATTCCTGTAGTTTTGAATGTATGTGGGAAATTTCAAACTGATGTGATATTCCAATTCCAAGTTATACATTTTTTACAAAGTCTTCTCAAATCCACAAACAAATCAATGCCAAAATCTTGTTTAAATTTTGACCAAGTCTTCTCTAATCCACGAACAAAATTAATGCCATTTCACTGTGAGGAGACCACAAATTCTTAAATGTAATAATAGTTGAAAAAAATTCATGGAGAAAAAAAGAGCATCAATCTTTTAAACCCCTAAAATCATAATTCAAATCAGACAAGGGATCATTAACCAACATATATTTCATTTCACACTGGGAAGACTTTTCAGTAACTCCCAACACTTTTAGTAGACGCAAGACTTACCAAGATAGCAAACACTAAATGACTTTATACGTGAACACTACAAAATCACATTTGTACTAATCTTCTCCGAATCTCTTTGCTTGAAGAATAATTTTTCTTCTTAAAAGTTTTCATGACGACACTAACCTCGGGTTCATGTCTACCTTTGCGTTTTCTCTTGCTACTCTTACTCTGTTGTGTCTCTTCGTCAAGCATCTCTCTTGCAAGAAATCTTGTTGATGGTCTTTATGATTGTCGTTCCGGCCAGATTGAAGCCCTTACGCAATTCAAGAACGAGTTTGACTCTCGCGGTTGCAACCAAACTGACTACTACAATGGAGTCCGGTGCGATAACACGACGGGGATGGTCACGAAGCTAAAACTACCAAGTGGCTGCCTGAGTGGAACTCTGAATCCCAAAACAGTAGCCTCTTCAAGTTGCATCATCTCCGTTACCTCAATCTCTCTTACAATGGCTTCACCTCCTCTTCGCTACCTTCCGGTTTCGGCAATCTCAACAGATTAGAGGGCTTGTCTCTTTCCTTTAATGGCTTTGTTAATTTATGCCTTGAAATTGAATTAGATTAGTTTCATTTGGGCTTCTGATTATCTGTTTGGGCCTAAAACTTTAAATAGCCCAAAGCAGATTTAGGTTAATTTGAGTCTCATATATAAACTCAGATTAATCCTAATCTGTCATCAAAAAGAACTGAGACACTGAAACTCTGTCTGAAACTTTCTGCCTCCAGAAATAAAACCGGTCTCCCTCTGT